TTAGAGGGTCACCTAGTTTTGAAAATGACTGTCTTCGAACGTTCAGCTTTCAATTGATCAGCTTAATTTTAGTCAAATTCAATCTGCAAATCACAAGCCTCAAAAAATCAGACTAAAATCAAGGGAAAACTGGTAGGGGTAGTTTTCTAAAATAAATTTTTTTCTAAAAACAAAACTTTATCTAAACTTCAAGCTTGAAAGATTTCTGTAGAAGTTGAGAAATTGACTTGGTTGACTGTTGTTGTAGCAAAATAGTCTCAGGCTCAGGCTCAGGCTCAGACTAGAGTTAGTTACTCAGGTGATATTTTATTCTTGCCTGGAGTCAGTGGAAATACCAGATCTAGTCCTTTAGTCAATCTCTCAGCTCACTGATCGTTTTTGCTCAAAAAGGTTGGACTTGTTTCCGAGAAACAACACCCTTTGACAGCTTATGCTTTACATGAACGCTGCAAACTACAAGATCAGACTACAACCGCTTGGAGAAATTCGGCTATTTTAAAGAATTATTTTTACCAAAAAATTGAGCCAACTTTAGACTTTCGAATGGCACCAAGATCAGGCAAATCCACCGTCAAGTTTGGATTATTTTTTGTGGCACCACTGAGCACTTCTGGATAATTTTTTGAACTTATAGTTAATCAGAACCTTTTAATAAAATTTTTTCAGCAAAAGGGATTTCCCACTTTCGGAGAGATCTGATTTTGGATAGAACGATAAGCCGCAAAAAAAGATTTACATCTCGATCTCGAAGAATCGTGAGATTCGGGAAAAGTGGCAAAGATTACTGCAGAAGGAAAATTGAATTACTTTGGCTTTAACTTTAACTTTTGCTTTTGCTTTACTTTTGCTCTAAGACTTCTAAAAGACTAAAAAAGAGTTCTTGAGCAGCTTTTAATGCAATTTGGCCTCAGATCAAGCTTTAGTTTTTGGTTGATGACATTCAAAAACAAGCAAAAAGCTTCTGGCGTTCAAGTACAACATTTGATCAATGCGATCAATCAAGTGACCAATCAAGTGACCAATCAAGTGACCGATCAATTCGCCAATACGATAGCTTAATATCAAATCAAATTTTGCTTAGTAAAGAGTGTAATTACAAGCAATTTATGTTAATTATTTGCCAATTACTGGCCTTAATCAGGAGTAAAAATTTGTGTACTTTTCAGAGCGATTTTTATCTATCGTAGACCCGTCGAATCAATTTTAAACCGTGTTTTTTGAAAAAAGTCCAAAAAAAATGAATCTAGAAGTGGGCTTTTCGGAATTTATTTAACGGTTCTCACAGATAAACAACGCCGAAATGGAGATCTCCTCCTTAAGAAGCTCTGGCCGTTTAGAAGCCGTGTAGCTTTGGTTTAACTAATCTTTACTTTGTTTTAATGAAAGAAGTACAAGTACAAGCTACGAAGCTGAAGAATGGATAAAAGTAAGTTTTTGTGCAGAGGTTGACAAAGATTGGATGGAGTCGAACTTCTCCAGGGAATAGAATTCAATGATCTGGATACCAATGAAAGCATTCTTTGGTGAATGATAATGTTTTAAATTTGGTTGACTGTTGTTGTAGCAAAATAGTCAAATAAATTGGCGTAAAACTTCTAATATACCTACATGTACGTCGATTTTTCAAATACCTCTTTGCAATGAAACATTTGTGGACGCTTCGTGCTAGAATTGATCTATTAATAGCTAAACTTTAAACAAACTCACATTTTTGACTGCTCGTGGATCAGCTGAAGTGGGTGGAGAATTCTCTATTGAAGCACCCGTAACATTGACCTAAAAAGAATCATAAATTAGCTTTGAAAAACAATCCACCTGTGGAAGGGCGGCAACCAATGCGGGATTAGAGGAGACTGAAAATAGCTATTGAATGGGAAATTGAAAAGATCTTACCTGGCAAAACTGGTGGAATGTTATTGGCACCCAACCTCTCTCTAATCAAATCCAGGCGATCCCTTCGAGCCATCACTGAAAAAGTCATCATAATTTTGCTGAATACGTTTAGGTTTCTGAGTGGATAGAAGCCCTCGAAACAAAATAAACCCACTTTCTTCGATTTCACATTTAATTTAGCATTTACCAATAAGATTCTTGTCTACACTTTTCTTGAGCAGCGCAAATGTCTTTTGAAAACTGAGCACGCTAAAGAATATGTAAATGGCTGAATTCAGTCCAAATATCGATGCATTTTCACACTTTTCCTCACGCAGAGTCATTTGCTCGCTTTCTTTATAACCAAAGCACTTCACTCAAAAGTCATATCTTTTTACGATTTATCAATATTTTTTATTTAAAAAGCTTTTGTAATGTTGATAAGATTTATTCCAATTAAACCCACTTTCTTCAGGAATCCTTGAGCCATCAGACCCCACCATGTTCGTCGTAGCTTGAGCAAACCCTAAATGTGAATTAAGTTGGTATCTACCGATAAGATTCTTGCCTACAGGAATAAATTACGAATTATTCTTTATTCTGACAATCTCACATAGAGTAATCTTACTCGGAGCCATTGTGGATAGGCAGCTTCCCGTGGATAATCCATAGGGGGAAGCCGGTAGAGTAGACGGCGAGGAAGCTGGTTCAGACTTAATGTCAGAAGCCATGGGTGGCATAGAAAGGACGTAATTTGTAGTGGGCGTAGTGTAGTAGTAATTTGTAGTGGGCGAGTCTTGCCCACAGTTTATAGCTGGTTTTGTTTCCATTGGAGAAGAAGGCAATGGTAATCTCTCTGGAGATTTTTCAGGAAGTCTCGTCTCCGACAACGTTTGCATGCCGGGTAGTGGCGGATGCGATGCGTAGATGAATTGTGCTATTGTGGATAGGCGGCTTCCCGTAGAAATTCCATAGGGAAAAGCCGGTAGAAGGGACGCCGAGGAAGCTGGTTCAGGCTTAGTGTGAGAAGCAATGCGTGGCATAGAAAGGACGTCTTTGAGTTGGTGTGCGATCTCCAATGGTAAATCTTGAGCCTTCGCTGGTTCCGGTTCACGCTTTCGCTATTGTGCGCGCCTTTCAACCGGCATTCTTGAATCTGAAAATAAAAAGATGTCATTGGAATTGATATTTGTATGACTTGCTAAAGTCACTTTTGTCATCAAAACTACTTTTTAGGTTAATCTAGAGCAATGACCATTTCTCGTTGTAAAAACCATATCAAACAACCAAATAAATTGCTTACTAAAAATGACTCCAATAAACCATAAAACCAATGAAAAACGAATTAGAAGCGATCAACGTAGATAAAGCTAAAGATAATCCAGAAAAATCCTTGAAAGTATAAACTTCCATTGAATCTAAGAACTGAGAAAGTGTTTTGAAGGAAATATGCATAAAATTAATTCTGAAAATTCAAAAAGTTGAGTGCAAATGATTTCCGATTTGCTGAAAATCTTGAGAAGATGCCCTCATTCACTATTTGAAGGAAGATGCCGAATTCCAGAAGGGGCAAAACAATTGGTCGTAGCTCGATAATAACAAGGCTGATCTGACTCCACCAAGACCTTAAGGTTAATTTAATTTAGCCTTTATCAATAAGATTCTTGTCTACACTTTTCTTCGACTCCAAAATCACAGATCGACTCCAAAATCACAGTGGGGAAAGCATCACAAAAGAAAAATTTCTAAACAACTAAATTGCCATTTCCAAAGCTGCTAAATTGTATAGAGACATTTCCAAAGCAGCTAAATTGCTATAGAGACATTTCCAAAGCAGCTAAATTGCTATAGAGACATTTCCAAAGCAGCTAAATTGCTAAAGAGACAACTCCAAAGCTGCGAAATTGCTATAGAGACATTTCCAAAGCAGCTAAATTGCTAAAGAATTTCGAAAGTAGCTAAATTGCTATAGAGACATTTCCAAGCAACAAATCTAAATTGAAAAATAAGTAAAGAGAGCAGATTTTGAAAGTGACAAATGAAGAGAATGAATGATCTTGCTTTGATAGTTACATTGCTCATAATTCATTGAATAATGGAATACATGAAAAAGGTTCCAAGTAACGCAAGAAAACAGGAAAAAAGAAATGCGGCCTTAAAACAAAGTCCCTAAATTTTTAAACGACTTTTCAGGTAGTTGACATTTTAAAATTGAACAATAGTTGATTACATTCACATCTTTAAATAGTTTTCTCGATTTTGATTTCATTAATTCCATTCGGCTTCCTTTAAAACTTGAAAATGTCTCCAAATAACCAGCAAAATCACAAAACGAGCAAGGAAAATCTTTGTGCTTCTTCTTTCGACTTCATGCCTGGTTATTTCAATAGTTCAAATAAGTCAAATGAGTAATTTCTGGTGATTTTAAGTATCTGTGAGATTTGAAAGAAAGTTCTTGGAAAAAGTTTGACTGCAATTTCTGAAACACCAATTCATGAACATTTTCTTCTATTATTTACAAGTCGACTCCAAGAAATTACTCGAAAAAATAAGTGCAGCTCCGTAAAATTTTCGAGATTTTGCAAAAATGATTATTTTCCAGTTTAAATTAAGCTCACTTTTTGCAGCAGAAAAAAGATTCCTTATCAGGTAAAGCTAGCATAAATGAGGAATACGTTCTATAATCTCTATTTTTAGGCAAAAAATTTTAACAGAAAAGCTTTTTCAAAAAAAATAATTTGGGTGTCAGCTTATTGGCGCCGGGTGTTATAGGTGATTCTGAAAAGTGCAAGAATTTGATCAGATTGGCCTTAATCAAAAAATTTTCCTGATTTTAAGTACTTCATTTTAGGTTTTGAATGGAACCCATTGCCTATTCATTAACCCATTAAAAACTTGTCCAAAGGCCAAATCACCTCAGCTGAAGAAATCTCTTATTTTTTACCTGAAGCCCACTATGATTTTTTTTGTTTAAAAACTTTTTGAAATATCGTCAAGTTTATCAAAAAATCTGGGAAGAAATTATGGGTTGGTTTTTGAGAAATCACTGTGCAACCTTTTCCTAGAACTTTCTTTCCAACCCAATAGCACTTCGTTTGATGTACTGGAGTAACTTTTAGGTTGTCCGGAATGAAAATACCCTTTTAATGAAAAACAAATTTATCTCCACAAAAAGAAAATCATGCGCTTCAATCCAAAAGATATTCTCCGTTGGCAATAGTCTTTCTCCATTTTTCTTTCAAATCTCGGATCTCTTTGCTGAAGAAGTACTGAGGCTGCAAGTCGAAGTGTTGGCCTACCCAAAGTCGGACTTGGATTCATGTTTCGCTTACCGACTAACGAGGCCGATGGCTCACGATCAACGCGAAAAGGGTTCTTTTCCGTTATACAACCGCCAAATTTGCATCCTTCCATGAAAATGAACAAGGAAAACCACAGAAAATCATTTTTTCACTATTTTCTAAGGGCGCGGTGGATTCATGTTTCGCTTCCCGACTACCGAGGCCAATGCAATCTGGTTCTTTCAACAAGCTACATCTTGCTTATTACTCGCACATGCGCCAACCATCACGTCATGAAGCTATTGCACAATCAGAACCCCAATGCGGATATGACAAAACGTCGTGCTGGACAGCGATCGACCTGCGTGTTGGCTCAAGGATGGAGAGCACCAAAATCCCGTTTCTCACAACCCTACCATTATGGTTGGACTCAACAGTGGACCTCGATCAACTATTGTGCGAAAGAACTGGAGATGAATCACCGCGGTCGACTTCAACAACTAGGATTCTTTGCGTGGAATATCTGGTGAACAATCTGAGAGGAAAAATTGGAGAAACCAATGGAATCGTAGAAGAATTTTATGGATTCCCAAACACAGCTAATCAAAATGACAAAAAGTACGACTCATTGCTTGAACAGTTTCTTCCACATAAACCTCCTTTGGTGTTTATATAAAAAAGATAGAGCACACTTAAGTTACCAAATTTTACATAAAACCAAATTACATAAGTTACCAAATTTTCAGGAAGATCCTCCAACCGTTTACTCCTAGATGACAGTTTT